ACCATTAACAGTCTTTTTATTAGATGGCGAGGTAGAGTATTTGTGGATGAGCCAATAAGAAGAAATTTTTTAAGGGAGATTAAATTCTCTGATTACGTAGGTTGAGTTCACTGATGTATTTCAAGCTTGTTTTATACAACATTCTGCACAATAGTAGATGTAGGAAACTTTTTTGAAGCTAGTTTATGTGAGCATAATAGTTATATAATATGAGGTAGAATTCACGGCTTTAGCTATATATGCTCCATAGCTTATTAACACTCCCGTAAAGAAGTGTTACATGTTTCTAAGAGGATTTTAGGATATTTTAAGCTATCCTTTGGTGTCATTTCATATTTTTGATTTCTCTGAGTTAGTGGAGAGAGCTTATCTGATAGAGAATGGTTGGATGGCTACTCAACAACAGTAGACTACTAATAGGAAAAGGTTTAGTGGCAAAACTTTTAATAATGGCTTTTCTTAGAGAAGAGAAGATTTACACCTAGAGATTCCAGGAGAGGTGGACAGTCAGTATCTATAACAGTCTCTGATAGTGGAAGCATAGCCAATTTTGGTTTTGTTAGTGGGCATCTATGTGCCAGAGTTAAGATAGATATCATTTTAATTAGTGCTATAGGATGTTTAGATAATTCTTTAGATGCAGTTAGATGGGGCACCAATAACATAGTGTCTATAAGCAGGATTTGATTGATGTTCTGAGCCCATATCTGAGAGCTTTATTAGACCAACAGGAAGATCGATGGCAGTTCCACTTTGTAATTTTTTTTCGGACTATCTGGTAGAGTTGGTGGTTTTTCTTTTATTATAAAGAGGCCATATGAAAGTGATCAGGGATATATTGGTAGTATTGTTACTCTAGCTCCAATTTAGCCACACATAATTAATTTGACTCAATAGGAGATTCGTGATGCTTCACTTGTTATAATAGGTATGATTTATATTTTTAAGCATCCATGTCAGGTTTTATTTAATTATAGATATATTCATTAATTTTTTAGCAATTTTTTACTTACTACACTTGCCTTCAATTATACTACATGTTTCTCTTTCTTTTATCTTATCGACTGGAGATAAGATGATAGCTAGTAAATTTTATTTATATAGTATTGAGATTTTGATAAGAAGTAGAAATCTAGTTTGATTTTATTACCCATTTTCTTATATGATGTTATTTTGGGTATGGATTGATTGAGTCGATATAAGGATTAAATTTATTTCTTAAAGAAGTGAGTGACATTATTTTTGGGCAGTGAGAGGCATGTATTTTAGATAGTTAGATGACTTATATCCTATTTGATCTGTACTATGGAAGTAGATAAATTATGAAAAAGGGGTTTCATATTATTTCTAGCATTAGTCAAATATAGGAGAATAGATTATGGTTTTCTTTCTAATGTCCTGATAGTACATAAATTTTTAGATGTATTTTTTGAGGAGTTAGTCAATTTGCATCCAGATAGATATATAGAGTTTTGTATTGATGTATTTTTTGGTACAACCCTAATTTCCAAAGCTCCATATAGGATGTCACCTAAGGAGCTTCAGGATTTGAATATTTAGCTTCAAGGGTTGGTTGATATGGGATTTATTATTCATCCTAGTTTATCTCTATGTGGAGCACCTATTTATTTGTGAACGATAAATGATGGTATAATTGATGGAGGTTATGGAGTGAACTTTCGAATTGTATAAAAATCTAGGGTCTATCACTCTTAAATAATACTTAGATTTTCTTTAATATAAAAATAATAAACCCCACTTAATATATGCAAGTATACGTGCCAAATCAAGTAATAAAATAATAGAGTAGAGTGTCAAACCCACAAGAAAGTGTGATTTCTTAGAACAAACTACTACTATTTATTAAATTACAATAATCATCCAGCTTAAATGAAAATGATATTTTTGGGAGATTCTGTCATTGAATAAAATAGTAAAGAAATCTAGAATTCATTGAAAAATAAAATACATAAAATAATATATAATTTATACTAATCAAATTCTCCCCAACTTAAACACTTTCTTGCCCTAAAGAAAATAAAGAAATATATAATTCTTATTAATTAAATAACTAAAATAAAAATTGATAATTCAAAATAAATAAAATATAGGATAAAATCACATTCTGAAGTAGGCCTAGGTTGACCCAGAATGACCTAAATCCTTTTAAATCTGATTTCAAATCAAATCCACTAGTGCCTTGGCTCAATTCTATCCTCCCCTGAACATACTAGGTCAAACCCGACCTATTAGGCCTAGACCCATACCTTGGGTCAACCTGGTTAATTCGGTCAACTTAGGTTGACCCAATTTGTTTAATTGGGTCAATTCAAATTCAAATAAATTCAAACCCCATTCTTGGCTCAATCTACTCATCCCTTGGGTCAAATTGAGTAAGTTTTTTTTTTTTTTTTTTGAACAAAAATGCAGAATGCATTAAACTAGAAAAGAAAAACATATACAATCAAGAGAGCCCTAAAGCATCACATTCCTCCTTCAAACAAAACAGGAAAGAAGAAGGAATACCATCCCCAAGAAGATCATCCCACAAGTAAGATCTCTCTAAAGCCAAATTAGCACATATATCAGCTAATTTGTTATTACATCTACTAGCCGAAGAGAAAACAACTTGATTAAAATTTAGCAAAAAAGCTAAACCTTCATCAATATTTTTACTAACCTTCCAATCCTTGATAGAATTTTGAAGCATCTTCACGATATTGAAATTATCTCCCTCAATGATGACTCCTTGAGCTTCAAACATCCATTCCTTCACTACATTTCTTAGATAAAGAATAGCCATAAGCTCCAACTGTGAAATATCCCAATGCAAACATCGAGTACCAAAAGCTCCCAGGAACCTGCCGTTCCCGTCTCTAGCAACACCACCTATCCTGGCCAAATTATTCCCTTTTAGAGCAGCATCAACATTGATTTTAATCCAACCGGTTGGAGGAGGACACCAAGGAATTAACAGCGATTGCTGATTAGCATCCCAGTTTACCGGCTGAACATTCAAAAAAATTTTCTTCACAGCAAATGAAGTAGCATTCGCTGCTATGCAGCTTCTGAATCTTCCTTCTCTCCATGAACCACCTTACATCTACTCTTCCAAACCAGGAAAATAACGAAACATAAAATATTAGCACTAAGAACATCCTTACTCACAAGCTTTTGAAGTCCTTCCTTGCAATCCAAAAAGCCATTATAAAGTGGAATGGGAAATCCCCATCTATTAAGTAAAAGGATTACCTTATGAATTTTACAGCAATTTCCAACTAGATGACTGTTATCCTCTACACCTTCACAACCCTCAGACATCCAGCAAAGGTGCTTAATTTCCTATTAACTAGGAAATAATTTGAGGGAATAGCCTTCATACATAGTCTCCACCAAAAGAGTTCTATTTTCGGATTTAATTTTATCTTTTTCAACCAATTCCAATGTGTTACCTCAACTTCATGCTCCAAAGTAGCTTCAAAAGCCAATGCTGTAACAGATTTCTCGGAGAATTTGTATTTCAATTCCAACATATCAGATTATCTATTGGCAATGATAGGGATGTTGGAAATTAAGTTCACCAGCTGCTCACCAAAAGAAGCCTTAAGCACTTCCAAATTCCAGCTCCCATTGGAAATGAAATTACTGAGTTTGAAATCTGAAATATTTTGAATATTGACAAAAGTGGGCCAAGAAGCTATACACTTGTCCAAAATCCAAGAGTCATTAACCCAATTGACAGAATTTCCATTTGAAATACTCCATCTAACAATGTTTTTGAGAAATTTAGCTCCCATGATAATAATCTTCCAAGTTGAAGAACTTCCTCCCTTCACCGAATTGGACCAAAGATCTCCCCCATACTTTGCTCTAAGGACTTGATTCAATAAAGAGTGAGGCTTCATATAGAAATCCCATGCGAATTTGGCTCTAAGAGGACCAACTCTTGAAACAGTAGAAAACAGTCCCCTACCACCTTCCGATTCTGGCTTACAGAGCAGCTCCCATGAAGCATAATGAATACCAGCATTTCCATTATTTTTACTCGAAAGAAACCCTCTACACATCTTATCAAATTCCTTAAGAATACTCAAAGGGACCAAAGAGAGTGTAGATAAAAACTGGGGCAAAGAAAGAAAAGCCGACTTTACTAATACCAATTTACCTTCCAGTGAAATGCACTTCTTCCCCCAAGTATTAAGCTTGTTGTGTGCAGCTTCCAACAGAACCTGAAAATCCGAAGCCACCATCCTTTTGAGGGTCATCTTCACACCAAGGTAATTGATATCCTTTACCACTTTAAACTTTAGCCTCTTAATAATCTTTTTCTTGATACTTCTATTAGTGAACCTCCCAAACATAATCATAGACTTCAAGTTGTTAACCTTCTGTCTAGTCCAATTACAATAATTGGAAATGATTTTCTTCAATTCCTTAACCTCCTTGTAATTAGCTTCTACAAATATTAAGATATCATCTGCATAGAGTAAATGAGATACTCTAGGAGCCAAAGGAGAAATAGAGATTCCCTTACCATTTCTTCTAGCAAGCAAAGCATCAGACAAAACTTGAGAATGAAAAATGAATAAAACAGGCGACAAAGGACAACCTTGTCTGAAGCCACATTTACCATCAATCCATCCAGATTTTTTCCCATTGATAAGAATACAAAATTTAGGATTGACAACACATTGCAAAATAAGTTCCAAAAATTTTGAAGGGAATTTAAATTGAGAAAGAGCTTGCCTTAATGTTTGCCATCCCATACTATCATAAGCTTGTTCCATGTCAAGCTTGATAGCAAACATTCCACTTTTAGCCTTGGACCATCTGAATTTATTGAATACCTCCTGAGCCAACAACACATGATCGGATAACGAACGTCCTCTCACAAAAGCCACCTGATCATTAGATATGATCTTATGTATTACTCTCTCCATTCTGTTAAGGAGCATCTTAGCAATAAGGTTGTAAATAGTCAAACAAAGACTAATAGGTCTTTAATGGACTGGTTCTTGAGGGCTCTTGATCTTGGGGATTAAAACAATCATTATTTCCTTCAAAGATTCATCCATAAAACCTGAAATCATAAACTGTTTCACAGCAATCCAAGTATCTCCTTTGATAGTTTGCCAAAAATCTTTGATGAATGAGAAAGAAATCCCATCTACACTTGGAGAAATACTCCTCTTAGAGATCTCTTCCACCACCTGAAGTTCTTCCTGTAAGAATCCAGCTTCCAACATTCTCTGGTCTTCCAAACTAAGAACTTTAGAAGGTCTCAGCCACCCTTCTAAAATGCAGTCCCTGAACTGCCATTTGCATATGAAAAAATCAGAGAATGTATCCTGAATTACAGATTCTTCCTCCGAGAAAATTCCACTCCCTATTTTAATATGACTGATCCAATTCAAACTCCGCCTTGCACTAGCAAACGCATGAAAGAAAGAGGTATTACAATTCCCTTCATCCATCCATCTAGCTTTGGCTCTTTGCCTCCACCAAGTATTGATCCTAGCCAATGTAACATTGAGTTCGTTGATTTTAAATCTCAAAATCTGCAGCCTCTCCACAGATAACACCCCTTCAGATTCTTCCAATTGAATTTCCAAAATCTCATCCTTCAATTTATCTCTTAAAGCATTTAACCCTTTGTACTTTTCCTTGCTCCAATAGAACAGTGCTTTTAAAGTTCTCTTGAACTTCAAATTAAGAATAGTAGCCGGATCTCCTTTACAATTCCTCTTCCAAACACTCTTCACTAAAGCAGATGCACCATAATAGGAAGCCCATACTTCTTCATATCTGATTGTACTCTTGGTATGCTCCAAAGGTTTAAAAACCTCCAACAAGATTGGACAATGATCCGAGGACACACGAGATAGATTCTTCACAAGAGCAATATGAATGAAATTCAAAGCAATGGTATTGATAAGGCATCTATCTAGCTTTTCCAGAATTCTAGCTCCACCATTCTTATTATTACACCAAGTAAATCTTGGTCCCATTGACTTAATTTCATGCAAATAATTTCTAATCATGAAATTAGTGAAATCTTTAGAACCTTGGTTAACCGAAAATTTCTTCCCTCCTCTCTTTTCAGCTTGAGAAATTATACAATTCAAATCACCCCCTACGACAAAAGGAAGGTTACCTGAGCAATGTTTCTCTAAATCTGTCCAGAGAGTTCTTCTATTCTGAATTTCATTGCTTCCGTATACAAATGCTACCATCCAGCTTCCCTTCCCTAAAACATCAAGCTTCCCCACTATCATTTGAGAAGAAGCTTCCAACACAGAAAAACTAGCTAAATCTTTCCTCCATAAAACCATCAAACCACCCGAAAGACCAGCAGCTGGCACCTGAAAAAAATCCCATTGCACTCCCAGCGACTTCAACAGAAAACAATCCTCCATTGCATTAATCTTCTTTTCCAATAACCCCACAAAAAACACTCTAAAATCTTTGACAATCTCTTTAAGATATAGAATAGCCTCCACCTTCTTGGCTCCTCTACAATTCCAAAAAAGAAAGGAAGACATTATTTAAAAATGGGAGAAGGCCCCCCAACCTTTTTAACTTTACCTCCATCCATCTTCCTATGATGAGGAATAATATTCCCTGATCCAAGAGATTTGAGTTCCTTAATCAACTTAGCTTTCTTTTCCAAAGATTGACTTCCTCTCTTCCCACTGAAAGGGATTAACACTTCACTGCACATTTCCTATGAATTTCCTGGGTTCTGCTTGCCATAAGAATCTGATTTGATCATCTCCATCTCGTTTCCAAGAGACAAGATCTCTCCTTCTTCAACACCATTGCAGTTAAATGACTCATCTAATTCAGCCAGCATTTTAAATATGTTATCTACTTCCATTGCTCCAGAATCCTCTGCAGCATTTTCCAACATACCTTTAACAGTTGGACTCATGCCCTCTTGAACTGTCTTTGTTACACAAGCTTCATTCACCATTACATTAGGCACCATTGAATTAACCATATCCCCATTCAGATAGGAATCTGATTTTGGAGCTTCCCAAATTTTTGATTTCTCTAGATCTGAAATGCTGACCTTAGGAACATACATTCTCTTCATACTGAAGTGACTGTTCCTATTCCCCAAACTCCTTTTAAAATCCATCTTCACCCTTCTCTTGTTCCCATGTTGGACCTTAATCCAGAGGTTATTTTTTCCTTCCTCCAATGCAATCTTTGCACTCACTTCCTTCAACAGTTTTGTCTGACTTTCAATACCTTCCACTGGCTGTACAACCTTAGAACAAAATTCTGCCTTTTTCTTTCCTTCCTCACATTCTTTACTAGAATGGCCAATTCTACCACAATCTGAGCATATTTTGGAAAACCCTTCGTATTCCACTTTCTTAAAAAAATTGCCTGCTGATCCTTTCACCCAAACTCCCTTTGGGAGCTTCATGTCAAGTGGAATTCGAATACATATCCGAGCAAATTCCCTCATACTCCATTGAAACATATTCCCATCAAGTAAATATGGCTTACCAATTAACGAAGCAATTCTGCGTATATTTATCTCATCCCAGCAATGGAGAGGTAAGTTGGGTAGCCGAATCCAAACAGGTGAAGAAACACCATTTAGAGACAAAGGATTAAAGTTCACAGACCATTTGTCCAAGCCTATAACATATCCTCTAATCCACCAAAGACCACCCAAGAGAACACAACTTACAGCTTTATCATCTTCGAACGAGCATAAAATCCAACCAAGGCCCAAACTTGTAATATGGAATTTACCATACCTCTCCCATTGTCTCCTCAACTCCATACTCACTACATGAAAAGGAATCTCATCACCAAAAGTCTTCACCACTATAGCTCTTTCCAGCCTTTTAACATTTTCCATTTCCTTTTCAGCATTAAGCACCACCATTTTCCCATCTTCAGATATACAGTCTCCCAGATCCAGGTTTTCAACATTAATGTCTGGTTTTTTCCTCCAAGACGATTGTGTCCACACATTATGCTTCTGCCCCTTAACAACTTCAATCGGACCTGTGGCTTCCACATTCAGAACCTCCTCATGTGCCCCCGCAATTTTACTCAGAGGCAATTCTGCAATCACATTCTCCGCATCCTTTGAAACTCCATCAAAAATATCAACCGAATTCTCAACAATAGGAGAAGATTTTGAAGAACTACGATCAACCTCAAAATTGACCTTTAAACCTCCCGAGGATGAAGCAACCAAATTTTTATTCTGCAGATTTTCCTTTTCGCCTGTAGCACAAGGTGAGATATCCAAATTCTATTTCAAGACATCCTCCCTAATAACATCTTTTCCCTTACCAGAAACATGGATAATTGGTTCTTTATTATCCAATAAACCGCCCTCCTTGATCACCAGATGTTTGTTTACAAAACTTATGAAATTCTTATTAAAACCATCCAAGATCTTGGATCCGCCATTAAAGACTTCTGAAGGATCAAGAACAGGATCAGAGATTCCATTTCTATAATTCTTCCATGTGTCCGGAGGAATAAGTCGTCAATGATCCACCGCCGTCCCTCCGAGCTGACGAATTGTCAAAGATCCGGCCAAACCCGCAACCGGCGCGTCGTCCTGCCTAAAAAGAAAATCAAAATACAAGAGCTTCTCTCTCTAGGAAAATTCCAATTACTTCAGGTAGAATGGTGAAAAAATTGAGTAAGTTGACCAGGTCAAACTTTGACTTGGTCAACCCAAGATTTTATTGGGTCAATATAACCTATTTAGGTCAATTAAAACCACTTTAATGCATTTAACACCTTCCCAATTCATCTCTTGAGCAAACCACGACTAGGAAGTCTTGTTCCACTCATAATTAACCCAAGGATCGATCATGACCATCCATCTAATGCCTTAGCCTATAAATAGGCTAATTAGGGTTGATGTGAGGGACTTTTGCTTCTATTCTTTTTCCAAGAGCCCCTAAGCCGATATATCTCATTTCCTTCTTCCATTCCCAATCTAAATCCACTAGTGAAAGCTCGCCAGCGAAGATCCTCCGAGGAAGCAAAGGTCAAACTCTTCTTATAAAAATCCGTGTCAATCCACTGTATTTTGAAACACATTTTCTTATAGAAACCAAAGCGTAGACAATTTACAAGTGCAATAAGACATTAAACGGGTTAAACTATCCATAAACTGAAGTAAAATTGCAAACCCTAAGTCACTAAACTTAAATCTAAATAGCTTTTCATACACTATGTTTTAGACCACGATATTGATACCCCATGAATGCTCTTCTTAATTTCTACCTAAGTTTAAAATTTCATGCAATTTGATCGAGTCGTTTGTGAGAACAAGTCAATTTATGCATTTTGGGTTTGGTTTACATAACCTGAATGTTACGTATGATTGGGATCATTGATCATGCGATCAATGATCCGGATCTATTTATTCTATGGTCTCATTTGAACCGTAGGATCGATCCTACGGTCTCGCACTCGGTCTGGCGAGATCAGGGATGTCTGCTCAAAATAATAGATGATCCAACGACTCTAGAAAGCTGCTGACGTGTTTAAGTGAGATCACGGATGGTGGCAATCAGTGCCATGTTCATGCACCAATTATTGCCAATAGTGATTGCCTGTGGAACACGAGATCTATCCTGAGTTGCCAAGTGTCATCTCAGGGCTTTTTCTAAGTTATTTATTTATTTTATTGGTTTTAAAATTATTTTAGCTTTATAATTCATAATAAATTCAATTTTAATCCAAAATTTAATATAATACATCAAATTGATCATATTTTTATCCTCTTTAATTTAAAATTTATCTTAATTAAAAGTATTATGTATATTTTAAATTATATTAATTATTATATATTGGTTATTTTAAATCAATAATTAATTTTAAAACTATTAAAATATTTTTTTAAAAAATTATAATTATTTTATAATTTCAAAATAATAGCAAATGCGTTTTTAGTTTAAAATTTATTTTAATATCTTATTATTTTAAGTAAATATTATATTTAGTAATGTATTATTATTGTAAATTACCTTTCTCGGGTGACTGGTAGATCTCCCAAATATTTATGTATTTGTATACATTGAATTATTTTTAATTATATTAATTTTTAAATCCTATATATTTATTATATGTATTTTAAAATATTTTGAAATTACATATATTCCAAATTTCCTAATTTTGAATGATCCACTTTGTGTAATTTTAAACATAGATTATGCATATGAATAGCATTCAAGGGTTGAGGATTAGTTGGTGATTGGATTCTAATCATTCACTAATCACTTCGTTAATCATGCTTTTTTCTTATTTTATCATCTTTTTGCATGTATAGGACGCACACTTATGCCCTCTTAGATCCAAGGATTTGATGTGTTTATGTTTTTATGCATTTAATTTCCTTCATGTTATCCCAAGGGTTAGTTTTGAACACTTGATTTAAACCTGCTTAACATAGCGACATCATAAGAATTATAATTAAGGACTAGTCTAACGAACTTAAAAAAATTCTAGGAGCTAGAATAGGTCTCCGATTGGCATGAAACTTTAAAAATTTGAACTTAGTGACATTTTAAACTTCACAGAATTTTTTAGGAATTTTTAGGATCTTTTAAACCTCTTAATTAATAAATCCTAATTTCCCCATAACTTTAAAAAATTCTAATAATTTTATTTTAAATCATAAAACTATCCATAATCTATCAAACTCCTTAGAATTCAATTCTTAATTTCAAAAAAAAAAATAAAATCCCCTTAATTTGACTTTAATCAGAACCATAATTTAATTTTGATTAAAAATCACTTTTTTGATAAAATTAAAGTATTAAAAATTATTAAAAATTCCAATTTTTTTCCAAACACTTGGGAACATCTCTTTAGATTATTTATGACCTTCGGGAGTGATTCCAAGTCATTTGGAGTTAATTTGGATCAAAACCCCTAAAATACCCCTTTATTAAATAATTTTAATAATTTATTAATTGCACAAACTTTGAAAATTCATAACTAATTTCTAAAAATTTCAAATTAGGAAAAATAAAAAAATTCAACTCTAATTAAAATCTAGTATTTATAAAAACTATTAGGCATGTAAAACTCCAAATCCAATAAACTCATAGACTAATGACTCCTGTTAAGGCATAATATTTAATTAAAATTCTAAAACCCTTAAACCTAGCCTGTTTCCAATAGTGACCTTTTGGACCACTTAAGCCCAGGCCTTCTAAAACCCGTTAATTAAACTTAAACTTTAAAGATTACTACCTAAATATTAAAATGGTTCTATAAATTAAATTGACTAAAATGAACCCCAACTCATTAATATTTAAAGCTTAATCAAATCTTCCCCTATTAGTTTTCAACAAACTTGAATGCAAATCAACTTGAACTAACTACTCGACATATGAGCTATCCAAAGCCACACAAAACT